ACTTTCTATAATTAGTGATTGTAATAATTAATTGTGTGATTGTATGGATTTACTACATCTTTGAATTCGAGCAGGAATCTGATTGAGATTTAAGTCTCAATTTGGATTTTAAATAAAAAAATTGACTGTAATTCAAACTCAACCAAAATCCTATTATGCACTCGTATTCAAAATTGAGTTAAAATAATTAAATATGATAAATATAATATATACTTATCATGTATCTACACATAAGTAGTATGTATATGTGTGTATATAAGTGTTAATGCCAAAGAGGTCCATGACAAAGGCATTTAATTAAAAAAGGTTATCCAAATTTTTTGTCATTCAAATAATTCGAGCACATTTAAACTTATTTACAAATAAAAAAAAACATTTTTATATATATCAAAATTACCCCAAATTTCTTGAAACTCAATTCAACCTCAATTTCACGATTTACACCACAATTTAGTCCAATTTCACCAATTAATCAATTTTGATCCGTCACCGCCGGTCTCCAGCGTTGACTTTTTTTTTCCTGAATTTTTTTTTTCTGGCAGGTCAACCGCCGTTTTCGGCGTTGAATTTTTTTTTTTTTTTAATTTTTTTTTTCTTAAAAAAATTATTTAAATTAATATTAGTGTCTTGGCTGCTAAATTACTGTATCCAACAATAATTTATCTGTCGTAGACAGTAATTTAACTGTTAAATAACTTTTTTTTTTCTGAATTTTTTTTTCTTTAACAAAAATATTTTAATTAATATTACTGTATTGGCTGCTAAATTACTGTCTCCAACAATAATTTAACTGTCGGGGAAAGTAATTTAACTGTCTGAGACAATAATATTACTGTTTCACTACATTCATTAATTTTATCATCTTGACCTACAATTTTGTTGTTTTCGACCATAATATACTGTCTCATGCAATAATATTACTGTTTAGGACAGTAATATTCATAATATTACTGTTAGACATTAATGAAACAGTAATTTAACTGTTTGTGACAGTAATATTACTGTTTGGGACAATAATACTAGTAATATTACTGTTTTGGTATTCAATATTACTATTTCAAACAACAATTTTGTTGTTAACACAATACTTAGAGAGGAAAAATAAAAGTCAACGTTGGAGATAGTAATATAACTGTCTAAGACAGTTACATTACTGTTGGAGACAGTAATTTAACAGCCAAGACAGTAATATTAATTAAAATAAATCTTTTTAAGAAAAAAAAAATGTCAACGCGATGGTTGACAGGCAAGAAAATTTCAGAAAAAAAAAAGTTACCAAAAAAAAGTCAATGCTGGAGAATCGCCCGGTCATCACCGGAATCTGACCGAAAAAAAAAATCAGAAACAAAAATAAATTATTTTTCTGAAAAAAATAATATTTTCTCAAAAAATTATGAAAATGAGGTTAATGTGATATATTTGTTTAAATCCGGGATCAATGTGTAATATTAAGGAAGTATAGAATATAATGGATGAAATTAATAAAATTATATTATCGAACGTATTTTAGACAAAAGATAAATAATGAATTTATTTGAAAGACTGTTTTTTGTCTGGACCAATGTGCATTTAGACCAATGTGCATTTCATTCGTTTGTCATGTCCCTCTTTGCTATTTGCCCAATTAATATTACCGCGGTGCCCTGTTTTAAAAAGAAATGCTGATAACCAAATATAAAATTAAGGGTATTTTCGACATTTATAAGCAATTCACTATAATCCTTATACCCAACAATAGAGACAAGCATTACACAATTGACAATACACAGAAGCCATAATCCCAACAAACATGGAACCTCATATTACATTATCACAGAACAATATAATCCTCCTCAATCTAATCAATCCTATCAATATTCCCAAACGAGGCCTAAGTGCACAAACTCGACCGACGATGAAGCATCGGGTTAATTGCATCAGTTACCTCTAGCAACTGCTTCACACTGCCATTTTCATCTCCAGCTTCTGGTGGGGCTCGTAATTCACAAGTTCAAAATCACCGGCAACAAATGAATCGATGTCCTTTTTCTCAGTGTTGATCCTCAATATCTGTTTCACAAACGGAGATCGAATAAATCAAGGAGCAGCAAACTTTAAATGAATTTCGCAGGGATCATAGTATTTATATAGTGAATATATACTTACTGGGAAAGGTCTTGGTAGTTTTTTGAGTTGCTCTTGTAGAGGACCGACGTGAGTTTTGTAAACGTGGGCGTCTCCAAATACATGGATAAAATCACCAGGAACAAGACCTGAGTATAAAATGAAATGAAGATTTTTAAGCAAATACTCGGTTGACAAACATCGTACATGTAGATTTAAGACATCAATTTCTCATGTTGTAATAAAATTCATACCACAAACATGAGCAATCATACACGTTAAAAGCGCATACGATGCAATGTTAAACGGCACTCCAAGACCCATGTCAGCAGACCGTTGGTACATCTGGCAAGACAGCTCACCGTTGGCTACATAAAACTGCAATCAAAATAAATCGAGTAAAAATCATCATATATTAACTTATACAAGTGACCAAACATTTCCCTTTTTTTTTATCAATATTGATTTGGAATTTGTCTCATATTACCTGTGCAGACATGTGGCATGGGGGTAGTGCCATCAATTTAAGATCGGAAGGATTCCAAGCAGAAAGAATAATACGTCTGTCGTCGGGTTTATTTTTTATTTTATCAATAACATCCATCAACTGATCAATCCCTTGTCCTGTGTAGTCGTCGTGCATATTGGTGTATCTGTAGAACACGTAAGCATTAAAGATCACTTTTTGAAAGTGAAATATACTTTTACTTTCTTCAATTGAATTCGATAAGGAATTGCTAACCTTGCACCAAAATGTCTCCACTGAAACCCGTATACTGGTCCCAGATCACCCTCTTCTCTCTCTGTCAGTCCGATACTGAACGGGAAAAAATCGAAGCTGTTTTTATTAGATTTAGTAAATAAAATAAGAATAATTCAACTTAGAAGTTTCTAATTACCTGTCAAGAAAGTCTCTGGATGCATTACCATCCCATATATGTATCCCTTTTTCTTGTAGAATCTGAATCACACAGAACTTCATTAATACCACAGCGTATTAACGGAATGCCCATATTTGTATTTCAGAAATAAGACAAATTCATTTTTTTGTAGAATCTGATTTAATTTGTAAGTATACAAGTACGTCTTCTTATAAACTTATCCTTACAAATTCAATTCCATAATTCTTAAGAGCAAAAAGAAAAAGCACACACTAATTCTTCGAGTCTGTCGGATATGTTTTTTTATGCAAACATGAAAATGGTCGAACCATTACCTTAGCATTTGTTGAACCACTGATGAACCACAAAAGCTCTTCAACAACTCCTCGCCAGAAAACCCTCTTTGTATCAAAACCAAAGTCAACAGACCACAACAATCAATGGCATAAAATGTTAAAAGTCAATAAACTTAAAACTCTCTCAATTGCTAGTGTCTCAGTAAAGCTGAGAGGAAATTAAAAATCAGATAAATGCTGCATACTGCGCATAGGCTCGACAGCCTAATAGTACGAAATTTTATTAGTAACTGTAGCAGCTAATTTACTTTAACGCAGAAGTCTCAAGAAAGGATTGATACCTTTGTCGTAAGAAGAGGGAAAGATTTGCGCAGGTTGAATCTTATCTGGAAAATGTTTAAGCACAACTATCAGAAGGGCAACACCAAAACACAAACGACATAAGATTAAGGTAATCCTACAATTATATACCTGGCAACCGAATTTCGAAAGTGTCCCAGTTCCTGTCCTGTCATCTTTATTATTCCCATTCGAAATAATATCTTGAACCAGTCTCAAGTATAAGAACTCTTCATGCTTATCAAAAATATGTTTTGGCAGGAAAGTAAAATCCGAGAGTTTTAATCTATTGGAATGTGATGTACTAACAGGTCCTTTAATGGAGTTCTTCAAACGGACATACGTTGCAAAGCAATACTTGATACCATTCTCCTCAATGACGGAGGACGAGTACCATGGCTGATAAACCGACATATCTATAGGAGGTATAAACGTGTCGCATTCGATAAAACTCTTGAGTTCAGTTATGTGGATCGCGTCACACTGCAATGCATTAAATGCTTCCCTGCATCAAAACTCGTGCTCTAAATTTCTTTTTATTGAAAAATAATTGTATTTGCAAATTCGAAATCAAGATAAATTACCTCAAAATCTGGCCACCTCCTATAAGAAAAACCTTCTCTATGTTAAAACTATAGGGCGGTCCTGCTAGTAATTTTAGAGCTGACGACATACTACCACAGAAAACAACACTCTCGTCGGAATTAGAATCGGAACTACCAGAACGAGTCAGTACGACATTTAGTCGACCAGGTAATGGGCGAAACTGAGGGGGAATGCTTTCCCAAGTTTTTCTCCCCATCAAAACGGCATTCTTCTTATTGGGATCCGAAGTAGTTGCAGTTATCTCTTTGAAAAATTTAAGGTCACCGGGCAATCTCCATGGCAGTTTACCTTCTTTCCCAATGCCCATATCAGGAGTTGCTGCCACCACAACTTGGTAGCTTCTCTCGGGTATTGACTGTGCATTATCGTTGCCATTAGAAACGCATTGAATTGAATCACTAGCCATCGATAAGTATCTTCTGCAGAATCTCTGTGCGGCAAATGGTTTCAGAGATTTGAATGACAGTATAAATGATGATTGTGAAGATGCTCTGAATATGCTATTCCGGAAAGAACCCAAAGTAACCTGAAAATTCATAAGAATACCGATTATGTTCCCAATAAATCAGAGGGAGAAGTAGATACAAGAGGAAACTGACTAGCAATTAGTTAAATTCAAGAATTAAAAGCTTGTGGACAAAATTGTTCCAACAATCAACTTTTTTGACTGAATTTGGATCCGAAGATTTGAATTTTATCGAAAATTTCTTTCTGGTTTGATATACACACGCTTATAACTGACTTATTTGAAGGATTTTAAAACTGGATTTGAAATTTAAATTTAATGAGGACGAGCAAAGGTAATTAGGTCAGCGAATTAGGGGGAAAAAATCATATTGCGATACACATACATATACACACATTCAAACACAAAGAGCATCAATTCCAGAAAAAAAATGCACAATGCACACGGACATTCATAAAAATTCCAAAAATAACAACTAGAAATACTCGAATTAAAGTGAAAAACGGGAAATACAGATTAAAAAAAACGCATACACGAAGAACAGAAAAAAGGCGCGGCGTAGGACGACAGGAATAGATCGGCTGAGAAAATGAAGATCTGAATGAACGGGAAACAAAAATCAGCGTCGGATTGAAGCGGTTAATGCTAATCAATTTCGGGTGAATTTGTGAAGCAAACGGATTGAATTGTTACACTCACGGTGGGGTTTCACCTTTTTTCTACAATAATTGGGGCTGCGGCGGCGGATTGCGGCGGAGGAAGTGGCTCTGGGGTTGGAAGGAAAATTAAGGGAGGAGGAAAAAAAAGTGTGGAAGATGAAAATGATGTGAAAAGAGAGCTTACCGTTCCCGCCATAAGGAGAGCGGCGAGGTTTAGGTTTTGCCCGGGGTGAATTTTGAATTCAGTTTCAACTGCAGACATGAAAATAATTAAATAAATAAATAAGTTGTAAAAGTAACTATTATAAATTTATTATTATATTATTAGTATTTATCTATGTAGCACGGACTCCGGAATGCGGGCACCGGTAAACTCCATTTTCCAAAAAGTAGGATACGGAAGCATGGGGAAACGTGTAAATAATTAAAATGTACGGGTGCATTTATAATTTCTAAAAAATATTATAATGTTTGAAATCATTTCACAAATTACATTTAGGGTATATAAATTTATTTAGTATGAAATTAATATCTACAAAAATATTAAAAAAAAAACCCTAGAAGTGAAAATGAGGCATAATATTTGAGATTTTTTTTAAAGCGTGTGCATTCGGAGTTTTTATTTAAAATAAAATTTGGATTTATTTTGTGCGGAAACGCATTTTTTTATTACCAGGAACGTCCCCAAAACTTTTAAATATTTATAAAAACGACCCCAAAATAATTCCGACAGGTGTCATGGAATTTCGGTTTTCGAAACGTTTCCGAACGTCGAAATGCGTGTTGGTTGAAGTTTCCGTGCATCATAGGTATTTATCCTTAAAACAATATTTTAATTAAAAGAACTTTGTTAATACAAGATCTGGAGGGTGTTTAGCTAAGTTTATAAGCTGTTAAAAATAGTTTATAAGATGTTTAACAGCTTATAAGTTCTTCCAAAGTGTTTGCAACTTTTTCAGAAAAATAATCTTAAAATTAATTCTAAAAATAAGGCGCAACGACTTATCATCACTTAAAACAAATATCTTACTTACTGACTAAATAATTAGTTAGTCAGTGAAAAATCAATTCAGTTTCATCTAATTCAAATATAATTTGATATAGGTAAAAGCAAACCACCCTATTAATATGCTTTTACACATTTACATAATCAAATCCCTACCGCAGATCCAAAAAGATCAAATCCCTATCTTTTGCGATATTACATTAATTAGCATTCTTTAAACTCCAATTTAGCATTCATTAATTAGCATTCTTTAAACTCCAATTAGCATTAATTGCGATATTACATTAAGAACAATGGCTTCTACACTAATGAAGAGCTTCCTCTCTTCTATTGTGCTATTCTTGTACTTAGTTCATATGATTGAAGCCGTTAGCTTCCTCCGAAAAACCGATGTTCATATTTATAACGATCTCCCAAAAAACTCCAAGTCCTTATTGCTACATTGCGCGTCTAAAAACGACGATCTCGGAAACCACACACTTTATCCTGGTCAGGAGTTCAGTTGGTCATTCCTAGGGGTGTAAACGAGCCGAGCTCGAGCCGAGCTCGCCTCTTTTGGCTGGCTCGAGCTCGAGCTCGAGTTTATTTTGTCGAGCTCGAGCTCGAGCTCGAGCTCAGAGGCTAGCCCGGCTCGAGCTCGGCTCGTTTACACCCCTAGGAATGACCAACTGAACTCCTGACCAGGATAAAGTGTGTGGTTTCCGAGATCGTCGTTTTTAGACGCGCAATGTAGCAATAAGGACTTGGAGTTTTTTGGGAGATCGTTATAAATATGAACATCGGTTTTTCGGAGGAAGCTAACGGCTTCAATCATATGAACTAAGTACAAGAATAGCACAATAGAAGAGAGGAAGCTCTTCATTAGTGGAGAAGCCATTGTTCTTAATGTAATATCGCAATTAATGCTAATTGGAGTTTAAAGAATGCTAATTAATGAATGCTA